GCTTTAAATAATTCAATCTTGAATTACTAATATATACTATATATGTACTTGCATATATACCATATTGTAGTCTTTTTCAAACTGCGCGCCGAATTTTTTTCCGACGAAGAATATTTATTCCGACCTATCTAGAATATTTAAATTGGTCTCATTTTGACATTCTGTGTATGTTCATAAAATATTTTTTAATACATTGTAAGAATATTTTAATATTCTCAACGAATGTTTATAGAATATTTATTGAAAGTGTTTGTGTTATTTGGGCGAACATTAATATCGTGTCAAGCATCAGGAGCCGCCATGTTTTCGTTTGGGCGGTCTGATTGGCCCTGAGAGTGACGTCACACTTTGACTGCGCAGTGGGTATCCACGGCGTGAGCATACCCTTATCCTTATACCATGGGTAAAACCTTATCTGTCATATTGACTACATATAGGGTGCGTTCCGTTTCTCGCATGATGCGCATAATGCGTCGTTTATCCTTGTTGCTCACCAAATGTTATAGCGTTTTCGGCCCGATCGGGTTTGCACCAACCTGGGTTGGATTAATGGCGTTTTGCGCTCTCCTATTGGTAGAGCGTGTGACATCAACCAATAGGAAAGATTAATCCAACCCAGGTTGGTGCAAACCCGATCGGGCCGAAAACGCTATTAAACAAGGACAATGGATGCATCATGCGCATCATGCGCGTTACGGAACGCACCTATAGTAGCACAAATATGCCTTCTTCATGCTTTGTGACCTTGCACATGCGTTTAGCCATCTATTACGTACAATAGAGTGTACGAAATTTAAAATCAAATTAAAAAATAAATTAGTTACTCGTACAATGTTTCTATTATACGTAGTTGTATTCCAAATAAATCAAATCCTATGTGGACTGTGTGGACAGAGGAATGTGTAGACAGTAATGCTTAGGTTCGGGGCGGCTACGCTGTAGCTGTGGGGTGTGAGAAAAATCTTCATGCGGGGTCTACAATAGAAGTCGCAGCAGTCGTAGGGTCTTAAGTCCGTAGAAAATTGACCAATCATAGTCGATTATTCTTCTCATATTCTACTGTGGCTG